AGAAGTTCAGAGAAAATCCAATCAATTGATGTTGCTGAGGTGTCTATAGAAGCTATTAACAAGTCCTGCAAAGTGGTGGAGTAAATTTTTTTTTAAAAGGGGTTCAAAATATGAATAAGTAAACATATGAAAAAATTGGGAGAATGTTTATCATCTATTATATATACATAAAATATAATTTTAACCATGTATAAACAATGTAATTATTTTCTGCCGAAGGAGGTTCAAATGAACACTCTCGACCTTACCTGGTTCCTCCCCTATCAACAATATTCACATGGTTAAATATACACCGTCAAGAAAGATCCTTTTTTTTATATATTAATTAGTAGGTCAATAATTTATATGTCTCCTTAATATAGGAGATTTATAATCTTTTAAATAAAATAGGTCATTATCTGTTAACATATAAAATAATTATAATGGTGTAAATTTTTTTTACACCAATTAAACTCTTTTATTTAAATAAAGAATAATTAAAGCTAATAATCAAAAACACACTTGAGAGACTATTGAACCCAAGCCTCAAATAGGACTAGTGGACTCAATATCTTTTATTTTTTTATATTTTCTTTTAGATTTTACCAATTCTCTTCTAAGACTCAAATTAGATATTTTCACTATCAAGTCACCTAAGCATAGCAATCCTAAATAGATGTGAGAGTAAATTACCTGCTATAATAAGTAAAAATATTCTGCTAGTATACCTGCTATAATAAATAAAAGTGTTCTGCTAGTAAAAATCTTCTAACTCTATTGGTATTATGATAAATAAAATGATTATAAACTATAACATAGTAAAATTACCAATAAAATAGCTTTGACATGACGACGATCGAATTCGAATTCAGCTTCACCAGATTGCATGATATTCATCATAGTATCAACAATATCCTTAGTTTGTTTCTCCTCTTTGGAATTTTGAACATGTTCATCAATAACTCTCTCCAAAAATTCATCAAATACCTTAGCCAATTTCTTCATACGAGGAATTAATCCCTGCAAATCAAACTTATCTAGAAAAGGAAAAAACTCACCAATATTTGGTGTACCTGCTATAATCAAAGCCTCTTGAATCACATCTTTAAAACCCCTTTCATCAAATTCATCATCCATGTATTCTTTCCCAAATATCATTAAACATGACATATTAGCACTTAATAAAGCAAGATTAGCACTAATATCAACTTCAACATGACTAGAAGCTGCCCGATTGATAAAAGTCACAAAATTTGTAACTTGTTGTTTTCTCATATCTTGAAATGAATTGATCTTGAGTGGACTAAGCAATTCTAACGTGCATAATTTTCGCATATTTCTCCAATAAGGTCCATATTTTCCAAATGTCAAATTTCTCTGATTATACGCGACGATTTGCATAGCTCTATTATTTGGTCTACTAGCAAAAACAAGATCATGTTTTTTCAAGAATTGTTCAGCAACATGAGGAGATGAAGCAACAATTATAGGAATAACACCAAATTTCATGCTCATTATTGGACCATATTTTTTGGCTATTTTATGAAGATCTTGGTGGATATTTTTGCCAATCATATGGAGATTTCCTATAATTGGAAGCCCTTTTGGACCAGGAGGGAGTTTTTGCTTCTTTTTTATGAATTTGTAGTGTAATTCTTGAAAAATATATAGTATTGCAAGTAGTGCAAGAACTTGTAAGAATATTGAAGCCATGAGATATAGAAATTATCAATTGTGTGTTTTTGCTTCCTAACTTGCAAATATTTATAAAGAGGCTGGGTCCTTGCGTTGTAATATCAATCATATTGATGAGACTATGAGTAGGGATAGCAATAGAGCAGGCCGAGACAAGACGAAAATAAGAAATTATGCTATGTGGGACAGGGTGGGGTGGAGAGAAGATTTGTAGGTTAATGCGGATTTACCCCGCCCGGCCCCATTTGCCATCTCTAACTATGAGAAAAAAAAAGATATTATATTTGACGTTTGGACAATAGTCTTATTTGAAGCTAACAAAAACAGAAAAAAAAAATGTATTTAAAGTGGGAATTCAAAATGAGTATTTGGATTTTAGAATTTTGTTTGGGACATAGAACTTCATTTGAAAATTTAAAATTTAGTTAATAAAGGTAATTATTATTCCATTTAAGATATTCCTTAAACAACTTTGGTTGAAGGATTAAAAAAAAAATACTGTTAGGAACGTTGTTTGGTTATTGTTCATAAAGCAAAAACTAGTATATTAATACTATATTTGATAGTCTATAAGAAAAAAAATGTGTCGGCAAAATCTAATCCTTATACTATATGTGGTTCAAAGTTCACAAAGGGATATCTCACATAAGGCTATCTTCTTTTACGGGTCCAACAAGTTTGAATTTATGTGACATATATAGATATAATTTGTGGTTAATTATTATTTTTATAAATATTTTAAATATTTAAGTTGTTAATTTACATAATATATGTAACTCATTTTGTCTCAATTTATGTGTTGCATATGAATTTCGAGAGTCAATCAATTTGTTTATATATTTTAGATATTTTAAATTGATAATTACATAATTTTTCTATAATTTTCAAAAAATATATATTATGTTTTTTATCCCAATTTATGCATTACAGACAAAATTTTGAGAATCAATTATTAATTACTATGATTTGTAATATGTTTAAGATAATATTTACGTGACATATGTTAATCCTTTATTTCAATTTATGTGGATAAATGAAATCTCGAAAGCCAATCAAATTTAAATATTTTAAGTTATTAATATTATCATTATTATAATTTATAGTATTTTTTAATGAAATTTTAAATATATAATAAATTAAAAAATAAAACAAATAAATAAAAATGGAAAATTTCCAAAAAACAATTAGCACATAATAGACATCCTAAAAAGGAGATGATGACCCACACAAAGTCAATAATTTCAGCTTGGCTGAAAAGCATCAGATGATGGGTTTAATATCTGTTTAAATAAATACATTTATAAAATACTGAGGTACAATCTTGTTAAAATATAAAAATTATATAAAATATAAAAAATATCCTGATCAGAAGTAGACACGTTAATCATGAGTTGGTTGCTTGTAGCCTCTTATCTATAGTAGGCTTTAATGATGTGTACATAATATGAGCATAGCGCCCTCACCTAGTATTGTTTAAAATGGTAGAGAAATGATAAGTAACTAAAGTTGTTTTGAGATACTCTCTTAATTTGTATGACATATTTTTTTTAGCCAGTGAAAAATATTTTTTTAATATTTAGTAATAATTAAATTTAAAATTTTCATTTTATCCCTATGAGACGATTGATAGTCACAATTTTTTTTAAGGATTATTTCAAATCACAAATTTTAAAAATTCTTCTTTTTCTATCTTACTAATTGGAACGGAAGCAATAAGATTCAAGATTATTCATAACATTTAGTATAAGGAAAAGATTAATAAAGTTGAGATAAATTTTTTTCTTTCCTTTACACAACACACATATGAATTTTTTTTAATGTAGGTAATTGAGAAAGAAAATAATATTTCAATTGCCAAGAAATTTCAAACGAAAGGTATACTTTTGAGGAAAGCAACTCTACATTTTGTCAATAAGGTTAAGATAAACAATTTTTAAGGAACTCAATAGATAATTAGAATAATAGTTACAAACAAAAGTTATGATAGAGTGGTAAGTATTCTTTTATCCTTAATAAGAGATTTCAGATTTGAGTTTCCCCGGATTCGGAATCATCTTTGTTAAGGAGCGCACGAATACGGATTTAATCGGACTGGTACCAAACACCAAACATTATGTATTATAATATTAAAATAAAGGTTGAATTCTTCAACTTATAATCCTTTCCTCTATTTTCTCTTTCATCTACCCGACCCCTAATTTTGATTTTTTCAAAGAAAAACTACTCCCTCCGTCCCTATTTACTTGTCCATAATTCCTTTTTTGGTTGTCCCTATTTAGTTGTCCATTTTGACAAATCAAGAAAGGACAACAAATTTTTTCCTATTATACCCTTATTTACACTTCTTGAAAATTGTAAAAGTGTATGTTGTTTCCCTCCAATTTATTTCACTTGAATTCAAATAAGTGGTTGTAATTTTGAAGTGAAAAGTTGTCATAAGGGTAAAATTGTAACTTCACTGTGCTAATCATTGTTGCCTTAATCTGTGTGCCATTTCTAAAGTGGACAACTAAAAAGGGACGGAGGGAGTATAATCTAGAGAGGGGAGCATGGGTTCACGTGAACCCACAGAACCCCCTCTAGATACGCCTCTGTTTATGGTCTTAAATATTTCATGTGAAAAGTTGGAATAATAAATTTAAAAAAGCAAAACAGATTAAGAAGAAAAGTATTACAAACAAATTTAAATGAAGGGAGTATTCATAGTATAAATTAAACCCAATAAAATTAATATTTTCTATCTGATGTCTAAGATCTAACCAGAACATAAATAATATAAATATTTAGGTCAAATTTTGTCACCAATAAAAATTGTGATGAATTGATAAATTTTTTTTTTTCTTAATCATAAGTCTCGGTTCAAACCTTTCTATATACAAAATCACGACTTTTATTAGTAAAATCCGAATTTAGTCAAATACCGAACATCAAGGGAAAAAAAAAAGGTTTACAATAATTTTGCTTTGCAGCTTCTTCTATTATACTTCGACTAACATATACTCTCTTTTTTTTCCGACTAACATATACTTACTACATGAATAAAACTAACATATTGTAGGGGGCAACTGATCGCATCTACTATCTACTTCTACTACTAATATATAAGTGTGGATAATCATAAAAGTGATAGTCAACATGCCTGCATGACAGCTATTGCTATATTTTCAATTTATTTTTTGCCCTTGGTATTCTATTAACTTTACTTGTTTTTGTAAATAAAGTCATCCGTGAATGGATCATTTGCTAGAGTGTACGTATTAGTTAGAAGAAATAATGCATGCAGTAATTTTGTGTATAAATAGTACTTTGTTTGGTACACTTTTTCAATCTATATACACTATACAAAAATATACAAAAATAATTCTGTGTATATATCTTTCATCCCCTTGAGGAGCTTAACTCTTATACCATGGTTTTATTTTGGACCACATTTTCAATAGTCGTAGTAGCTCTTCTCTCTCTCCTTCATGAGCTATGGAGAAACAACAAAAGAAAAAAACTTCCACCAAGTCCCAAAGAGATCCCAATTTTGGGACATCTTCATCATTTGTTAGGCAAAAACCCTCATCAAGATTTGAACAATTTAGCCAAAAAATATGGTCCAATTATGTACTTAAAATTAGGATTTGTTGACAACATAATTGCTTCTTCTCCTCATGTAGCTGAGCAATTTCTCAAGACATATGATCAAAATTTTGCAAGTAGACCACCTCATGAAGCTTCAAAATACATTTCATATGACCAAAATAACTTGACTTTTGGTACATATGGTCCTTATTGGCGAAATATGCGAAAATTATGCACATTAGAGCTACTTAGCACTCTAAAAATCAATTCATTTCAATCCATGAGGAGGGAAGAGTTGAATCTTTTGATTGAAACTCTCAAGAAAAAATCTCATGAAAAAATTGTAGTTGATTTGAGTGAGATTGTAACACGTTTATCGGTCGATATAAGTTGTAGGATGATTTTTGGGAAAAAATATAAAGAGGAGGAATTTGGTGGCAAGGGATTTAAGAGTGTTGTTAATGAAGGGTTACAATTAGCAGCAGCTCCTAATCTTGGAGATTTTTTCCCCTTTCTAGGTAAATTGGATCTTCAAGGATTAACAAGAAGAATGAAGGCAGTTAGTTAGCAAGGTGTTTGATAATTTTTTAGAGAAAATTATTGATGAACATGAAGAGATTGATAAAAAAGGACAACATCAAAACAACAAGGATTTTGTTGATACTATGTTGAACATCATGAAATCTGGAGAAACTGAGTTTCAGTTTGATCGTGGTCATGTTAAAGCTATTTTATTGGTAAGTTTTTGTCTATCGTCTATGCATGTTTAAGTTATATACATCGTCATTTGTTAAGATCGCACCTTTTAAACATTTGTAATAGGGCTTTAAATGTGTCATTTTTCGTTGACTTGGTAAGTTGCATGAATTTTACACCAAATAAGGGCGTCAAAGGGCTAAAATAATTATTTTTTTTGTGTTTCGATAGATAGAGGGGGAGAGGGAATATCTCGAACGTAGAAATACTACGATCAATATATTTGACGTCGCATTATACATTAATAAAGTCACAGATTAAGATAGAAGATTAGTTAGATTGTTAATATTGTCTCACTTTATTTCTCTGTTCTATTAACCATACTATTAGTTATAGTATTACATACCCTTGTAGTTTCTTATCCTTTAAGTTTGATTATTTTCTGTTTCATTTTTTCGTTATTTTTTTATATTGCTTTGGACTATCTTTTTCTCTTGAACAGAAGGTCTATTGAAAACAGTTTTTCTACCTAGATAAAAATAAAGTCTATATATATTTTATCCTCTTCAGACCCTATTCTATGAGATTACATTAGATATTAGATATTTTATTGTCGATGACTTTCATCCACAAGAGTCATTTTCCCACTTGTGATCTGAAAATTCTGGTAACCAATAAAACTTCTTTATGAAAGATATTTTTGACTTATGACATAAACCCTCTTAATTTTTTTGTCCACTTAATAATTCCAACTACCCCACCCCTTCTTCTTTTTTTTCTTCATGTTATTTTAAACGGGAAAGTGTCATATACCTTTATATTATTAGAAATAGTATAAATATATCTCTCGTTATATTTTCGGTTCAAATATATCCTTTTTGTTATATTTTTGGTTCAAATATACTCTTCTCATTATATTTTGATATAACAAAGGATATATTTAAACTATTTGTGTTAACAGGATATGCTAATAGCTTCAATGGATACTTCAGCATCAGCAATTGATTGGATACTCTCAGAACTCCTAAGGCAACCAAACATAGTGAAAAAACTTCAAAAAGAATCTGAAGAAAAAATTGGAATGAAAAGAATGGTGGAGGAGTTAGATTTAGAAAAAATGGAATACTTAAATATGGTCATAAAAGAATCATTAAGGCTTCATCCTGTGGCACCATTACTAATCCCTCATCAATCTATTGAAGATTGCACTATTGATGGATATTTTATTCCAAAAAAATCAAGAATATTAGTGAACACCTATGCTATAGGGCATGATCCAAAGGTGTGGCCTAATAATCCAGATGAGTTTATTCCAGAAAGGTTTATGGGGAGTAGTATAGATCTTCGTGGACATGATTTTGAGCTTCTCCCATTTGGATCCGGTAGAAGAAGTTGTCCTGGTTTACAACTAGGACTCATCATGATACGTTTGATCGTGGCACAATTGGTTCATTGCTTTGATTGGGAACTTCCACATGGTATGTTACCAAATGATTTGGACATGGGTGAGGAATTTGGTCTTGTTACTAGTAGAGCCAAACATCTAATGGCTATTCCTACTTATAGGTTGTCATGTAATTGAATACTCGATTCTTTATCATCAGAATAAGTTCTTCCTTGTAAGAAAGGACAAAAGATAAGTAAAAAGTCTAAACTCTCTTAAGATGTGGTCTTTTCCTGAATATTGAATTGAATATGATATATAAAACGTTTGTAAAAAAAATATATATGACCACTCACATTTCTTTCAAATATTTGATATGAATCTAACAAATCAATTTTGTCAAACCACAAAAAAGTAATAAATATTAATAACACCATTTATTATTCCTGGTCCCGGCGGGGCTCGAACCCGCGACCTTCGGCTCATAAGACCAACGCTCTAACCAACTGAGCTACGGGACCTTATGGTGCTTGATATTCGTTTAATATAACACATTACTCATAGAAAGTTCAACAAAGGCTATTACCTGCTCTCGCTCAATGTTTACATCAAGCCTATAGATAGTCTTTGAATTACACGGAATATGTTGTTGTTTGTTTAATTAGAAAGTACAAGATTGAGAGGTATAACTGAACTACAAAGTTTGTTGATTGCTCTATAAAATGGAGCCTTTGACATACTAGACAAGATTTGTGGAGGCGTGCAACAAGGGAGTGATCCGTGCAACAACCACTCTGTATCGCTATTTATGTAAGTTGTTAGGAATTTTGATCTCGAATCAAGTTGGGAACCAATTCATTTTCTAAATAGGAAGTAGTCCACCACAAGACTAGACCTTGAAACGACAACATAATTGCTAAACTCCGTTATGTCACACACCCTTTCAGTAGCTGCTATCCAAACAAGCATATGATGTTAGTTGATATGTAGTACAAAATTCAGCACCAATATTCAGTTACAATTCAAACCTGTTATAATTCTAACCAATAACCAAACGACTCCATCGTATGAGGGCTTAAAAGTTGTCACAATAAGTAAAAGGAAATGAAACTACTCAGAAGGGAGAATTCAAATCAATGTGCTTAAAACGACAGCTTTATTTTCTGGTTCCTGGTCTCTTCTTACATAACACAAGCTTCATTTTCATCAAAGCAACAATACAAATAGAACTGTGAATGCCCCTATTTCACCACGCATTTCTGAAGAAAAATTGCAAGCAAATTTTCCAGTAAACACTCTTATTCTTCTCCTAAATCTAGACGATGGCCCTTGTAAGCCATCAATAATTCCTCTGTATTTTCTGTAAATCTCGATACGTACTTCTCCAAGAAGTGATGCTCTGTCAAACACATCATATCATAAAATTTTGGGTCTTTCTTCATAAGCTTTTTCGACGTTATCAGCTGAAAAACTTGATATCTCGGAATCACTCTCTCCTTCATACTAAACATCAAAAGAGTGGGACGCTGTACTAAAGTTGACTTCTGTAACTTCACTGTTTCCAAGAAGAACTCTAGTCCGAGTCTTATTTTCTTCTCTGAACCACGGAATAAGCATGGTGCCCTCATAAACATTACCATGCACTCACTTTTGGAGAAACCAAAACTCTGAATCAACAGTAATTTATTCGAAATAGATTCTTGACTCATACAACTTAATGTATGAAGGCCATGCACCAACATTCTTGAATCAGTAGAAAACCCGATATCCATAAGTTCAGAGACAAGTTTTTTAAGCTTAGATCCATGTGTAACAAAAAGATGAGGTTGCCTCTTCAAGAGTGATGATAGTTGAGACCCAACAATTCCAATGCTCTGCAGATATGAAATATTAGGAACCAGTCTCAAGTGAGGAGATCCATAAATAACCCAATCACACCTTAGCAGAACCCGGAACCAATCACCATTATCAGTACTTTTTATAAGGACTTCATTGAGAACTTCAATGGAAGGCTTTAGTATTTTGTCCAGGCTACGTGTTAATAATATCGCCTTTGTGGACAAAAGCCTACCCAGATCAGAACCAGTGATACCCAATTCTTGTAATAGCTGGATCTTTGGCTTGAGTATTTTTTCAACGTCAGCAAGAAGGATTTGGGGGACGGTACCAACAGCGGATTGGATTTGTGCATCTGTGAATCCGACGGACTTGAAGAAATGTACAGTCAATTTAGGTTTTTCAACACTTCTGACCCAAGATAAACGATCGGATATGGTCACGGCTTTAGGCTTTGGAAAGCCCAACGTGTTTATTAGGTAGTTGAGGAGTACAGGATTTTCTTGGTTTGCATTTTGAGCAGACTTTTTGGTTACTACCTGAGATAGAGAGGAGAGAGATATGTGGAAAGAAGAAAAAGGACCAGTAGGTAGGGAAGAAAGATGATGTAAGTGAGTAGATAATGAACGGAAGCGCAGTTGGATGGAGATCATGAGTCCTTCTCAATCTGTTCACAGGAAACAACGAGAAAGACTTATAGAGACAAGAAAAATATGAATTTTAAGGACTTAAGAGAAAACTTTGAACAAAGCTATTCAAAGTGGAAGATATGCAGAGGTGGAACACAGAAGCTACCCATGCTTTTCTTTAAACTTCACTTCCCTGGAAAGAAAAGGTGAATAAATATCAACACTTCAATTAATTTATAGAAAGGAGTAAGCTATTGTGTTATATGAAGCCAGCCTTTCTCTACGAGTTGAAATGTTTGAGACCTATAAATTAAAATAGATAAAAAACAGCAACGGAAACTCATTTTTAAATTAACTCAAATGGAGTAACACATTGCCTTTGAAGTTCACAGATTATACAAAAAGTTACTCCCTCTATCACTCTTAAAAATATCATCTTTGACGACATACATATTATTTTTCTCATTCCAATATAAATTTACAGAAACTTTGCAATAATCAAAAGCAGATAAATAGAATATCACAATTTACAAGCCAATATCACATAGAATACATATGAAAATGCAAATAAATTGTTGGTAAAAAAAATCCTAGAAGCAAGCATACACTGCACTTCATAATTCGTGCTACATCACTAAAAAATATTTCAAAGGGAGTTGGGATTTTTGTATCAGTAAAAACAGAGAGTAGGAATCCCAAGGAAGGAAGCGAAAGAGACCATGAGTAAACTTACTACTAGATTTCGATGGAGATAGATATCGTTGAGGAGATTGTCAGAAAAATAGATGGATGGAGTAGTAACAGCGCCAAACAAAGAGAACCCAGTATAATCTGACAGTCATCACACTAGCATGACATTTTTGCAAATAGGGCATCTTGAAACCTAGTAAGATCACCAACATAATTTACTTTGAAAAAGAAATGTGGATTAATTCTCAAGGAACATGTTTTTTTTGACAGTGGTGTCCGGGTCAGCTTTCGCGCACCTCGACTAACTCCATAGGATACCTACCACCTCCCACCAACAACAATTATACCAGGTAACTTGGTCCATAAAGGCTAGGATAAATGGGAAGAAATCACTTAGTATTTTGTATCTCTGCTGGAGTTTGACCCGAGAGCAAGGAAAATGTTTATCCTTTACCTAAATCTAGAGAATGGCCCCAGAAGGCCATCAATAATTCCTCGGGAGTTTCTACAAACCTTGATACATACTTTTCCAAGAACAGATGCTCTGGCAAATAAATTACAGAATAAAACCTTGGTTCTTTCTTCACAAACTTTTTTGGACTTTATCAGCTGAAGAACTTGATATATGGGAATCACTCTCTTAACCATGCTAGACATCAAAAGTGCAGGGTGCTGTACTAAAGTTGACTTCTTTAACTTCATTGTTTCCAAGAAGAACTCTAGTCCGAGTTTTATTTTCTTCTCTGAAGTTCAGAATAAACTTGGTGCCATCCTAAACATTTCCATGCACTTATTAGCCAAGATTTGTGGAGTTTTTCACATACTAGACAAGATTTGTGGTTTGTGGAGTTTTTCACATACTAGACAAGATTTGTGGAGATGTGGAGCAAGAAATGGACTGTTTTTGTTAAGTCATAGTCATACTAATACAAGTTGCTGGAGCGGGAAGTGATCCATGAGATAGGAGAGAAGGGAGTGATCCAATATCCGACTGCTCTGTGACGCTATTGGTGTAAGTTGTAAGGAATCTTGATTTTGAGTCACTCTCTTAATATGAAGGAGTCCACCACAAGACTTTAGACAAGTTGCTCCCTCGCCTCGCAACAACAACATAGTTGCCGAACTTCGTTATGTCACACACCCTTTCAGTAGTTGTCCACACAAGTATATGATGTATACACGTGAATAGAGGCCAAAAACAAAAATTCAAGGGGTTGATCCTTCATATCCTAGGGTGCCAATGAGGTGAGTAATCCTAACGGCTAATAACTTGAAGGAGAGGAGAATTACATAAACTAGTTGGTGCTTTATGTGCAAATATTCGAAGTGAAGAAGTAAGCCACCTCCTTGTTAAATTGCAAGATGGCTATACTTTGGAGTACATTGGACAATGCCTGCCGACAAAAGGAAGAGAAGGCTTAAGACATGAAACTTTACTCCATCAACAAAGTATTTCACTTTTTCAAAAAAAACCTTGTACCTTAGGGGTCGTTTGGTTGTTGGTCAGGAAGTGAATTATTATGTATTGAAACCAGCATAACATAACTAATACCATGTACAGTCACATATTAGTTGACATGTAGTTTAAAATTCAGCACCAATGTTCAGTTACCAGTTTACAATCCAGCATAACTAAAAGCTATATAACTAACAACCAAACAACTTCACTGTATGAGGACTTGAAAGCTGTCACATATGTAAAAGGACATGAAACTACTCAGAAGGAGAAATTCAGATCAATGTGCTAAAACTATAGCTTTATTTTCTAGTTCTAGGTCTCTTCTGACATAATACAAGCATCATTTTCATCAAGGCAACAATACAAATAAAAATATGAATGCCACCATTTTGACCACACATTTTCGATGCCTATAAGATCAGGATTGAAAGGAAAAAAATTGCAAGAAAATTTACCAGAAAACACTCATACTCTTCTCCTAAATCTAGACAATTGCCCTTGTAAGCCTAAGCCATCAATAATTCCTCTGCAATTTCTGTAAACCTCGATACGTACTTCTCCAAGAAGAGATGCTCTGTCAAACACATCATATCATAAAAAGTTGGGTCTTTCTTCATAAGCTTTTTCGACTTTATCAGCTGAAAAACTTGATATCTCGGAATCACTCTCTCCTTCATACTAAACATCAAAAGAGTATGATGTTGTACTAAAGTTGACTTCTCTAACTTCACTGTTTCCAAGAAGAACTCTAGTCCGAGTCTTATTTTCTTCTCTGAAGTTCAGAATAAACTTGGAGCCATCCTAAACATTTCATGCACTTATTCTTGGAGAAACCAAAACTTTGAAACAATTGCAATTTTCTCAAAAATGTCTGATGGGTCATACTACCTAGAGTATAAAGGACATGTAGAAACATTCTGAATTAGTTGGAAACTGAATATCCAGAAGTTTAGTAACATGCTTTTTAAGCTCAGATTCAGGCACAACTAGAAGACGAAGTTGATTCTTCAAAAGTAACGGTAGTTGAGACCCAACAACTCCAATGCCCTCTAGATATGAAATATTAAGAATCAGAACAAGTGAGGTGATCTCCGAATAACCCAATCAGACCTATGCAGAACCGGGAACAAATCACCATTTTCAGTACCATTTACAAGGACTTTGTTGAGAATTTCGATGGAAGGCTTCATAGCTTTCTCCAGACTACGCATTAACAAGTTTAAATGAGAGGAAATAAGCTTACATAGATCAGAACCAGTGATACCCAATTCTTCAAATAGATGAATCTTTCGCTTGATTGTCTTTGTGACATTGGCAATGAGGATTTATGGGATAAAAAGAACAGTGGATTAGATTTGTACATCTGTGAATCCAATGGACTTGAAGAAATGGACTGCTAAATCAGGTTTTTCAACACTTATAACCGAGTGAAGACAATTGGATACTGCCAGGGCTTTAGATATTGGAAAGTCCAATGTGTTTATTAAGGTAGTTAAAGAGAACAAGATTTTCTTTGTTTCCATTTTGAGCAGAGTTTCTGGTCACAGCCTTATATAGAGATGCAAAAGAGAAGCTGAAAGAAGAAAAAGGACAAGCAGGTAGGAAATGAAGATAATGTAAGTACGTAGATAAACAACGGGACCGCAGTTGGATGACAAACATGAGTCCTACTGAATCGGTTCACAGACAACAGCCAGAAAGATATAAAGAGATAGAAGAGGATATGAGTTATAAACAATTTAAGAGAAGAACTTTGAACAATGCTATGCCAAAGCCAAACAAAGGTGGAGGTGAACACAGGAAGCTACACGTGCTTTTTTCCAACTTCACTTCCTGGAAAAGAAAAGGAAAATGAATATTAAGCCCTCAATTCATTTACGAAGAGAGCTTTTGTTTGTTTGTTTACTTCATTATGTGAAGTCAACCTGTTTCTACAAGTGTAAATGTTTGTGACATACAAATTTGACAGTATATAAACAGTAGGGAAAACCTATCTGTTAATTAACTCAAATAAGCATTTCACCATTATAGTTCTAAAGTAATACAAAAAGTTAGTCCTTCCATCCTAACTTATTTCACTCTTTTCAATCTCGAACATCCCAAAATGTTGAACATCATCTCAATTTATATATAACTTTCATCTTACAGGAATTCAAATTCCTCAAACTACTCAAATTTTGGATTTGACGTGATGCTTTCTCTAGTAAACTAACTCTATAACCATAACTTTAATATCTTTTTCCATCAGAATTTTATGTGGCAGAGGAAGTATTATTAATACAAAAAGATAATTATTGCAGCCCCTAATGTACTAACTTCAAACTCAAGTGTCCGTATGGATAAAATTGACAGCAAATGAATGAAATTTTAACCACCTCTAAACTTTTTTTAAAAAAAAACGACAAACTCACAAGCAATCGTAAATATTTAGCCTAATAATAAATAGGCTCAAACTTAGCCAACCTTAGCAAGCAAGCACTCAAACTTTGACAGTGCACATCTAGACATCTCAACTTACTCTCAATTGACAACTAAACACTCCATCCCCACTATCTCATGGACACTCAACACTGACATGGCACATAAATTTTTGAGGTGTCAAGATGATCATTTTGTAAGTTGGAGTGTTCGACTTACAAAGTGAAGACGAGTTGAGGTGTCTAGATGTGCATTCTCAAAGTTGGAGTCCTTAGTTGCCAGCTTTACGCCAAGTTTGAGTATTTTTCTATCTATTATGCCTAAAAATTTCATCTTTGACACATTGATATCTTTTTCCTCATTCCACTAAAATTTTACAGGAACTTCACAATAATCAAGGGCATATCAATAAAATCACACAATTTACGAGCTAATATCACTATAAAACACAAATGAGAATGAAAAATAAACCATAAAGCTAAAGAAAAACTCAAAGAAGCATACAATGCAATTGAAGGGGGTTTAGGGTTTTTGTCTCTAAATACAGAGGATAGGAATTACAGAGAAGAAAGAAAAAGAGAGGATGAAGGACTTACAACTCAAGTTGGCCAGAGATGATATCGCCGAGTAGTTGGCCGGAGATATAAATCGCCGAGAAGTTCGCCGGAGAAATATATGAACTGAGAGTTAGCAAATGAAATGGTCCATTGCTCTTATCAAACCCGATAGATAAAGTTTGGGCTTATAAGTTCGAAATCTATTGGGCCAAATATATTTTCTTCTGGCCCAAATTTTCCTTTTTATTCAAAATTATACTCCCTTCGTATAGTCTTAGATCGTTAGAAATAATTTGAAAAATAAGTAATTAATGTTGAGGATAGAACATATAAAAAATAATTATTTTTTCTCAATATGTTGAAAGTAAAAATTTATTTTTAAAATTGAACGGTGAAATATTTGTTACTTGTTCAAAAGAAGAAAGAGCGGATATAAATTGAAAAAAGTATTCTTGTATACACATTTTCTTTTTGTTTGTCTTTTTTAAAATACAAACTTTTCTTTTAATATTTAATGATTGTTTAACTTTAAGTTTTTCCATTTCATACTTTGAAATCTTTTTAATTAAGCATCTTATCACGCGAGTACATTTTAAGAATATTTTCACAAATTAGTCTAAAATTCTTTAAATTAAAAATGATTGTAAAATTTGTTCAATTATTATAGCATGTTTGATCAAACTTTAAGAAGGCCAAAAGCGCCCATTTTAAAAAGTGAAGTGTTTTGTTTTTTTCGGAACCTCTTAGGAAATTCCTAGTGGCTACCCTTTGGATGCCCAAGCTTTTGGAAGAAAATGGTGCTTTGGTTGAGGAGCGAAAATTATTTTTGGAAAGCACTCTGTAAAAAATAAACTTAGAAGTACTTTTAAAAAGTTTAGTCACACACTAATTGTTTTTCATAAAGTATTTAGTACAAATTCTCTTCATGCTTTTAATACACTAGTTTTTATGCATATGTTTTACACCAATGTCTCACGTCGATTATTATAAAATATACATTAAAGTTTCCAACTTGGGTGTTGGTTTGGCTAATTATCAAATTTCTTTAGATTGTAGTGTGGTCCAACATTTTTTTCTGCATGAATCAAAAAGCAAATAACCTATAATAATTATTATATGAAATAATATAGAAGTTAATCGTCATAGCCTAAGCACATAATGCGTATTGTTCTCTTCGGCCAAATAAACCTCATTTAGCATATATACCGTGTGAACTTATGTCATATAAATTCTTCATTTATTACTCCATTTCGATATGAAATCTGCATATTGTCATGTGCATTTCTTTTTCAGAAGCTTGTAGCAGCCAAATTATGTAATAGTCCTGCATAATATATAAGGACAAAAAACTTAAGTATACGAATTAAGTACCTTAATTACTACTATATAGCAATTATTATTTTTTCCGCCTATATAATTTATTTATTTTCAAAAATAGGATTTTATATTAAAATTTTAAAAAAAAGGTAGCGTAGAAATAGTCAGCCACAATTTTCTCATATTTTCTCCAATTCTTTTACCTTCCACGATCTACTCAAATTGGTTATATATTCTCTTCCATAAAATAGAAGAAGAGGGTTTTTAACAAAAATAAAACTCTCTTCCTACTGATTCTGAATGACTATTCGATCATGGATACCAACAATTTTTCAATTCTAATTCAACACAACGGACGATGGGACGCATCAAGTATTTGTGATAAATAAGAACGCAAAAAAACACCAATTCAATTGTGATTTATCACAAATACCTGATGCGTCCTATCGTCCGTTGTGTTGAATTAGAATTGAAAAATTGTTGGTATCAATGATCGAACAGTCGATCAGAATCAATAGAAAGAGAATTTTATTTTTGTTAAAAAACCTTTTTTGATGTGAGAGAATATATAACCAATTTGAGTAAATCGTGGAAGGTAAAATAATTGGAGAAAATCAGGAAATATGAGAAAATCGTGGCCAACTATTTCTACACTACTTTTTTTAAAAATAATTTAATATAAATCCTATTTTTGAAAAAAAAAAAACTATTGTTATATAGGCAAAATAATAATAATTACTACTATGTAGTAATTAAGGTACTTAATTTGTATACTTAAGTTTTTTGCCCATTCTCAATAGATCCAATATTTTTTCTAGGTTGGAGACTAAGATGATACTTATCAACATTTATAAGAACCTGAAAAAGAGTTTCTCTATTAATTTTCTCAAGATTTTTAAGGAATTAGATAGATGTATTTGTATAAAATAATAGAATACATTTTTAAAGATTGAGATAGAAAAATAAAAAATCGACATATTTAATAGTGATCAATCACGGTGTAAACAACTAATTGCTCTACCATTTTTGCTTCTAGCTACATTACCTTCGCAAGATCTGCCTTCCAAAATTATGTGGCAAACATAAACAACCCCTTTTGCATATCTAGGTGTTATACATAGGCAATTCTAGGTTGTCATCCACATTTTGCTATTAAGAAGAACCTAAATATGCTTAAATATAACACTAATTTATGTTATCCACATGATTTTGGGAGGCAAAACATACAAAGGTGATGTAGCTATATAGGAGCAAGAAAATGGCAGAGTAATTATTTGCTCGTATTGCGATCGAATCGCTATTGCGTACGTTGATTCCCTATTTGTTTATCTCAATCTTTAAAAGATTTTTCTATTATGTGTGAACACCCATGCCTAACCCCTTAAAAATCTTGAAAAAAATAATCAAAAAACTATTTTATCAAATTCTTATATAAAAAAAACATATTGAAATATTAAATTAGAATATACCTTGTTCCAACAATAATTGTTTAAGTGTCGTTGAGATCAATCACTTTATTTGATATAGCACCAACTTGTAACTCTGGATAAAAAGATAAGAACTCTATTGTTTTCTAACAAAAAGGTATAGTAGGGATTCTTATAAGTTTTTTTTAACCCTAGGGATATTTCCATAAAATATATATGAATACGCTAAGGACTCCTAATAAAATATTTTCTTGTATCACAAAAACTTCAAGATAGGTAAAATATTATCTTATTTTTTACTTAATTAATTGGAAAATAAGGTACTTTAATAATTATCCAATATGTAGGTCACAGTTGAAAGTCTTATAAAGAGACTAAAATTCTAACAGTATATTAAAAATGAAATTCTTTAGCGAAATATCATTCATTTTTTTACCATTTTAAAATAGATTTCAGTACTGGATGACATGGTTACCTAGCTAAAGTACTTTCCTCCTATTGAATTGGTTCGATGTTAATTCCAATTTAATACGGGAAAAGTATAGTGACAAGGTAACCATATTGGCATCCGATCCACGCTAGGTCATCCCAGAAGTGATATAAGACACCAATATACATATTTGTACCCCTTTTTCTTCCTCCAAGCTTAGGGAAGTTAAAAGCTTTATTTGAGGTCCAAATTATTTCTCCATGCTACTTAATTTCTGGTTTAGAACTCATCCAAATTTTGTTTGGATTGTGTTTGCATCAGATGATAATTCTTGCTTCTCTTGACTAACATTAATCGTTATGAATGTATGAAGCTTTTTATCTTTTTTTGTTTTCAGATCAAATATAAAGAGTAATTTTCTTTTGATTAGAGAATTAAAAAAAGATTATTTGAAATATCATAATTCAATACATAGCAACGATCATACTATCATTTCAATTGAAAAAACCTTTATAATAAAATTTCATCAATCGTATCATCGAGAGGAAGACCATTGATTGGAGAATATAGCTGAAAATAATCTAGACAAACTCAAACATTGAACCCAACTTAGAAACCCTGTTTAACCTCGCTAAGTTTATTTTTGAGATGAAATTAATAATCCGTGCAGTTGAACGTAACATACTCAACTTATTACGTACATTTCTTTTCTTGTCACCAACTTTGAATTTGTTGAAACACTTTTTCTTCAATTTTCAATTATTAAAGTATTTTCTCTCTAACATTTCAATTAATGTTAATACACTTTCTCATTAACCTTCAATACCCCCATCATTCTAGGTTATCATAAGGTGAAATGTTTTATTGAAATTAGAACATTTGTCTCAATTAGTTCATTCCTTCACTTTTGTGATCTTGGTATTTTAAGTTAATTTTTTTTCCATAGTTTCTTTCAAATCTAACCGATAGAAATTGTTACGATATTTGTTTTTTTTTTTAAACAAAAAACCAAAAACGTTCTTTTCTGACAAATTTAAAGAATCAAAACTACTCAGAAACATTTTTTTAAAAAAACAAAAAAACTAATTCGAATCGATACCATTTTTTTTTCTAGAATGTTCCACATGATACCACTAAAGTCAAATTTTTAATGATATCATATCATTACCAGCCACTTGATCTTGGAATGACAATATCTCAATGGGAAACACACATTTTTCTACAGAAGGATTTATTGTTGTAATTTTACCTAAACCATTAAAATTACAATATTCTTCACTTTGCTTATTCTTTTGGAAGTATGCATTAAAAGCATAAGAAATTTTAGATTCATCACTTAGTTCACCACATGAAGCTCCTTGTTCCAATTTTGTACAATCTGCTTCTTCACAAGCAATGTTGTAATTCTTCTTCGCCAAATCCATGTTACTTTTGTCCCCATCGAACATGCACCATCGATTTGGCATTGTTACAATGCCCTTAGCTTGAGTGGGATATTCGTCTCGGTCCTATAATTAGAGGTGACAAAATTAGTTCATAAGAATATGAGTTTGCTCAACTCATGTTTAGGCAGGTAAATCATCAGTTCATTTATTAACTCAGCTCGTCTTAACATGTTCAAAATTCAACTAACCTAAAAATTGAGATGATGTAGGGCAAGTATGTAGCCCAAACAAATCCATGAGAAACTTTGTCAAAATTGTTTTTTTTTGTTATGAAGGAAACAAAAATTAAAATTTGACCTGAGTTGGGGCAGGTTAAGTTATGAGTCATGTTTAGTCTATTTGACCTAGTTCATCGTAGCCCAACTAACTTTATGTTGGTAGATATATATATATATATATATATATATACCCATCAACCACTTTTCAATGTTGTAATTAGAAAAGTAGCCATTGTCGTATTGAATTTTCAAATTTCACTGGTGAAACTCTGCAACAACCACTACAAGAAAAGTGTGAATTACACGGGGATTAGTATGAAAATTTGTTTTCCTGCAAATTTTCATACTAATCCTGAGAAAAATCCCCATGTAATTCACACTTTTCTTGTAGTGGTTATTGCAGAGTTTCACCAGTGAAATTTGAAACTTTTCAATTAAGAGGATGAAAAGTGTGTTTGTGAATTTAGTTAAACTCTTTTGGCTAGAGGTGAGCAATGACTCGTTTATTAATTCAAATTGAATCTAAATCGCTCATTTGACATGTGTACCTGTAATGAGAAATCAATCTTGTACTTTGGATTTCCATCTGCCTCATAAATTCCCCAATGTCTTTGAAATGCACCAAATTTTGTACGAAACTCAGTCTCATCTGACAAGCTATGAAGATATGTGTCTATTGGCCCTGGCCTAAGTGGTGTCCCTTTATTTGATGCTATAAATTTCAATAACCCCTTATGAAATCTCTCTGCATTTTTAAGATTTGCATATGGATATCCATCGGTAGGCCATCCAATTTGACCAATCATAATTTTCATATCAGGATATCCCGCTTTCTTTATTGCCCACACAATGGAATCTATCATTAACTCCACTGCATTTGTGTACGTGACATTACCATCTTGAATCTTGAAATTGCTCATGTTATCGAAAAATGTGAATTCTATGGGGTAATTAAGTACATCCCTAACCATTTGGATGGGGAACATGTTCAATAGAAAAGGTGTGCCTGTTCGATTGAAGAACTTTAGTGATTCGAGCATCAATCCTTTTATGTCATCGCGAAAGTCTGATTTTGATGGGACTTTCGCGATAGTTATGACATCCATGCCATGAGAGGTCGTTGTTGAGACATACCCTAAGTTCATCTCGTCTAGAGCTTCTCGTACGATTGATATCACATTCACCACTTGATAGTTCGTTGCATCTTTCAAGAATGTATTTGAAAATGGCTCTGCCCCAATACATAGTTCCCTAAAGAAATTAATCAATCAACATTAGGGACATAGAGGAAATTAAATAATAAAATCATCACAAAGTTTAAAAGATTAACATCAGCCTATTTGGTCAGGCTTTCAAAATCTGCTTCTTAGCCGTTTACTAGCATATTTAGCCAAGTTAAAAAAAAAAAGTATTTTTGGAGGGTATATAGTTGTTTGTACATAACTACTAAAATTCAAAAGCATTTTTACCAATGTTAGTGCAGTAATTTGGGCCTGGTTAAGGTTTCAAAAGTTCTCATTAGGAAAAACTACACTTTCTACCTATTTTTTTGGAAATTAGCTTTCTAAAACAAGCACTTTTAAACAAAAATAAATACTTTTGGTTTATAAAAATTAAACCTGACCAAACAGACTAGTACGTTTGACTCGTCAATTTGAAAAAGTACCTTACTTGTCAACATGAGAACAACAAGTTGTGTTTGGTCGTTGTTCCAAAAATGCTTTTTGGGAAAAACTATTTTTTTCAACTTCTACGACTATATTCAACGTTGTGCTTCCCTTAAAAACTTGAACAAACAGGCTATAAAATAAAATTAATGTAAAAAAAATAGAAAGAAAAGGAATGCATTACATACACTATGTTGACACCTTTGTTGATAGGTAGCTTGACTTTATCATTTATCCATGCATAGGCAAGATCTTTCCTATTTATAAGATTTACATTTCTATTTGTAAGAGTAATAACAATACTAATGTTAGTGGCAGAAAAAATTTGAACAATATCAGAGGCTGAAGTCATTAATCTCAATGCTGGAATCTTGTTTTGTAAAAGCAAATCAACAACCATTGATGGAACTAATTGTTGTGATTGTTGTCTGCCCCATGTGATGCCCACAAAGCTATTTACACTTCTTGTCATGAATAAAATCATGAACATTATGCCCATGGTAATTAGCCTCATCTTGCGTGATGTCAGAAATTTTAATAAGAAGATTCGGGGAAAAAAATGTTACAAGAAGGGTTCAGACCTGTGACATATAGCAATTCTTGAGTCACTTCTATCGTCAGTTAAAAGTTTTCCTTTCCCAAGAGAATTAACAATTTATATATATAAAAAAAACTATATTTACCTTGTTTAATTTGCGCGATTAATTTTCTGACAAAAATTTAATCAAATCCCTTTGGATAATGTAACTCTGCATTGATGATGGTACACAACCTCTTCTTGCTTTTTTGTCCCTAGATGCGGGTACCAAAAACTTTTTGCCAAGAATATTCGAGAAAAAAAATCCACAAGGAATATTGAGACCTGCGACATAAAGCAATTCTTGAATCACCTTGGTCATCACACCAAAGTTTTTGTTTTTTGTTTTTTCAATAAGATTAATCTTATATTTACCTTATTTGTGCAACATGATTTTCTGATAGAAGATTCAATTGGGTCCCTTTGGATCATCATATAACTCTGCCATTGATAGTACACAAAATGATATTCAATTCTATGGTCTCTCCAAATTATATTTGAAAATCCCAAAAGAAGGTTACTTACCTCTACATGGATAAAAGAGGTTAAGTATGGGGGGATTTAAAGATAGATATTATAAAGTTTTTCTCTTTTTAAGGATGAGTTTTTCACAGAAAAGTAAGAAAAAAAACAAATAACGTTTATGATTGGCTACTTATGTCCGTTTATTATGGGCTTGCATCTAAGGTTATAAGTTGATGGAGCTAACATCAATACAATTAACCTTAAATAAATATAATATGTTGGTGTATATGTATTTTATTAAAAGAATAAAATATAAAGTGCATATGACAGTGAGTACAAATTGTGGTAAAAGATGATGATTAGTTCTTGTAACTTATATGACCATTAGTTCTTGTAACTCCAATGGTCATTAGTTTCTTGTAACTCATATGACAATTATTTTCTTATAACATCTATCACATTTATCTACTCACATTATTACGTACCCCCATTCTACCCGTTGATTACATAGAAGTGCGCTTTTTCACCTATAAATAGCGGTGTTTATTCCTTTATAAAGGAATGAAAGAAAGATAAGAAGTGTGAAATAATATATTGAAGTATGTAATACTGAAAGAGAAAGTTGAGACAGCGAAAATTTTCCAAGTTTTCAACTGTATTCACTAAATAAAAGAGAATATTTATATGTTGAAGGAATGTGTTCTTATGTGGAGCTTTGGACTCTTCAACTAAATCCGAAGTTGCTTGAGTTGTACGACGTTGTTAGGTTGTTGTATACTAGCGGAGACAAGTCAAGAGTATCATTGTTGGATCGGTGTAGATTATGCCGCAGTGAGCTTGAATCTCCTTAAAGAAAACGAGATATATCCATGCCTCACCCTAAATAATTTATTTATTCATTTTTTGTTATTTTATTTTTTAATTGTAATTTATTATATTTGAGATATATTACACCAACATAATCTTACATAAAATATAATTATATATTGCTTACCATAATTAAGTAATAAAGAGTATATAAAAAAGATATATCTTATATTTATAAGGTACCCAAAACTTTATTTTGGGGTGTATAGAGCCTAGAATAGAAGCTCCTCTTAAATACCTATTCAGTTTTATTTTATTTTGTTTCTATATTAAAATTAGATGTATTATTTTAGTCTCTCGTTCATTTTTACTTTTTCATTTTATTATAAGAAGATGACCTTTTTGAAAAATTAAGAGATAATTTATTATTTTTAATTTTACCTATTTTATCCTTATATTGTATACTATTCATTTTTCAATATTCAGATGACTTTAAATAAATAAAAGTGATATGTTAAAATTATCATTTTATTTGGTGCTTCTTAAGGGGTGTGTCAAATTAAACATTGCCATAGGCTCTGTTCATGTGCGCTAGGGGTGTGCAAAAAACCGAACCAACCGATAAATCGAACCGAAAAAAGTGTTATTGGTTTATTGTTATTGGGTTATTGGGATAACGGTAATTTAATGGTTTTACAAAAAAAAAATTGTTGGGGTTATCGGTTCGTTATTGATTTTTAATATTGGGTTATTGGGTTAACCGTTAACCCATTAAGAATATAATAATTTTACTATTTTAATTTTTATTTATACATATATATAATATATTAAAAAAAATACCCTACGCAATAATTAACACTACTTAACAATTAACTCTCCTCTCTACTTTTAGTAATTTAACATTTAGGTTTTACTTTTTAGTATTATTTATTTACTTTAGTTAGTTTATAATGGACTAATATTAGCTTTTGCACGATTGTAAATATCTGCAATTTGATTAACGTCGGGAATTCAAATTGTGTGTGTTTTTTTTTTAAAAATAACGTAAGAACTTCATTTAGTTACCATAAGCATGGCCTCATTTGCTACTGTTTTGACTTTTGTCTATGATTTGGTTTTATTTGATTCTCTTTATTGCATAAAGGGGACCTCGTTTTATATATTATGGTGATCGAAAATTAACCAAGTCTTTGTTGTGATGACCAAAATACAACAAGTTGGTCCTTGTTGTCCCGTTTGGAATGATTATTTCGATGTATGCATATCGCGTCAAATTATTGGATAAGTCATATATTTGTTTTGAAAGCATTTTCTTATTGGTTAAACCGAAAACCGA